AAGAACACGACGAAAAGTGGCGGTCTCCATCGGTAAGCGTTCGAATAATCAAACATATTCCACACCCTGGAGATGAGTGGGCGTGGTTGTGTACTTCGGTTGAACGCTGCGCTGCGATGCGTTGGCTGCTGCGCTTTTAGTGGAATATTAACGTTCTGGAACAAGTGCCCTAGTGTTCATGTCCAGTACAGAATGACAGTTGTCTTGTCCCAAATGGAAATACTCCACGAAAAATGCATCATACGCCAAATTCAAATTAAATACACAGACACGCCTCTTTCATCTTTGGGACACGGGGTGCATATATTGCTAAACTAGAATAAGTGACGTGATTGTGTTCTTGGACATAAGTGCAGTTTCTTGCGTGTGCTAACATTGTTGTGCCAGTCGCCATCCGTGCAGTTGAGGAGCTTCTGAATAATCCTTGGTGGTGATCACCAAAAGACTGGCTCAGCCGGACAGACCCTCCAACGTGATCGTTAGTATCCAACAGAGTGCCAACAAATAAGTGGCACACGAACCGTTTTCAACAGCTCCTTCAACGACCTCCACGACCTCCACTACTTCATCCATATCACCATAGATGCTTTCTGCGTAGATTGATTGACGTCTACTGGGGCGTCGTGCTACCGTTGCTTTTCGTGGTTCGAAAAGTACTGGCATAGTTGAAGTAGAGCTATTCAGCGAATTGAAGGAATCAACTCGAATAGGTTGACCACTACGGTTGCCTCGTGGAAGCGTTGAGGAGAGACGAAGAGACGTTTCTACGGCTATTGAGGCTCCACGAGGGAGTGAATTGTATTCATCGTATTCTGTAAGAGTATTCTTCTAATAAAAGCGAAAGCATTGTCATAAGTAAAGCAAGGGATTATATAGATCAAAAGATATGCTTATGCAATAACTCAAACCGTATATACATCGGAAGCGGAACAAAAAGAAGCAACGAAGCACATGCTCGCAATCACCATGCGCATCTACTGATCATTCTTAAGCGTGAAGACGCGAGCGGTCGCGGCGCGTCGCAATCGTTCGATCGATCAACGACCGCACCGCGTCGCGCCCACATGCGTTTCACACTGGTAGACACTACTTCAAAAAAAGGGCTATAACTTCTTGTAACACTGCAAAAACTTACGTCCAGCGCTTGTACGAATAGCCGAGTTTTGTTGCGCACCATCGTACGCATCAAAGGCCGATACTCGTGAAGTCGGACGGGAGTCGTCGCGAATGCTGCGACGCATTGGCACCGGAGGTAAGTTCGTCACTGGATCGTGAACCAGCGTCGTAACGTCGTAATGGTGGCAAAGGTGTTGCCTCTGCTGCTGTAAGAGAACTAAACAATGCAAAACCAAAACAGCAAGCGATGAAATCAGCAACCGCGCCAGAGAAGAAACAGACAGTGGCCGCGACTGCTGAGGGTGGGCGATTGTTGCCAACGTCATTGATTGATGGGTTGCGAGAGGGCTTTTGGCCACACCTCCACATTCAGCCCTTCAACCAATGACACTGGCGACAACCGCCGCCCTGATCGTGCCCGCTGCCTCTGAGAAGATAACTCAGATCCTCAACAAAAACCTCTGCACCCGGGATCGCCGGATGCGCTAAGCCAAGAAACGACGTCACCGACGCGCCCCTCTCCGCCCTTTTCCGCCTTCCCTGACAGTATAGAAAGCAGGAAAAGGAGAGGCGCGCCAATTACGTCATTGTCTAGTCCCAACCACTTGGCAGTCCCAAAGGTGTCTTTGACGCTAGACAACCCAAACCATGCGGAAGCTTCAAGTCAACATCAAATAGCTTCCAAGTTTTACTTACCATGATAGGCGTATGACTTCAGTTGGTTGCTAGGGGCGAGATCAGCATGGAACTTCACTTTGGCCACCCATTCAAGCATTTGTCGCTCATCGCTGCAGGCGAAAATGTACTCTGCACCATCTTGGGTTGCCAGCCTAAACAACATGAGCTCGATCCACCGGTTTCGCAGTACGCATGGAAGCGCGTTCATACTTTGCGATTTGATCGCTCGAGCGATCCAAGCGATCTGAACGTGAAGCATGAGCGGGCTCTTACTGCAACTTCATAATGTTGCAAAAGTACTGAAGAGAAAACTCAACAAATGAAATTGGAGGAGGGCACGCTGTGGCGAGTCCCGACTATGCCACGTCACGTCTGCTCGTCTGCACCCTCTCATCTAGTATTGCTCTAGCATATGTGCAGGAAACTGACTGATTGAAAAAAAGAAGGTGGCGTGAAGGGTCACACTATCTTTGTGAGAGAGCACACAGAGCAAACATGACGTACATATTCGCGCCGCCACGTGACTTCCTCCCGACTGTCTTTGCCCGGGATACCTCACGCAAAAAAAAATTAATATTCACCGGAAAGCATGCTTTCTCTTGACGTATTCTGGGAACGGTTCACATCGTGCACCGTAAATGTAGACAGGGGGTGCAGCGGCAATGTTCTCGTAGAACGACGATTCATCCTGAAGAGCGATTAACATTTTCATAGGTTATGACGGGATCGACACATGGGGAGTTTTCGAGCGCAGTTCGGCGACGAGGGAGGGGGGGGGGCATTTTGTACTTTCGCTGCTTCACTAGCTCCGGTTCACTAGTCTCACTCTGGTGAAACCTGTGAGCTCCTGTGATGCTGGAGCAAACCTTGGCAGGTATCACTTCGTGGCTCCACAAGAACTCATAGGTTTCCACTTGGTTGCTCTATATCTCGATGGGAAGTAGCAGAAATGAAAAATGCCCCCCTCTACCACCAAACTGCGCCTTTTCGATACTGACCTTGAAGAAGCACATCAATTGTCCACACAAAATGGTATAGTAATTCTTCCATGATCGTATCGTTGCCCTCTTACTTCCACTTTGAAGGTCCTGCTTCCGGTCAACAAAACTGTAAAATGGCATTATGGAGAGACTTGTACCGGATATGAAAAGATGAACACCAACCCTCTCATATCGATAGCACCCAGGTCTTCCCAACGGCTAGTGCTATTTCTGGAGACAGAATGGCCGCGTCTGGTATTGAACGATGGCGTCTTCCTCATATCCACGTCAACAGCCGAAATATGTGGGGCATTCACAGCTGAGGCGACAACGGTCGATGGACCTCCTACCACTATCGAATCGCCTTAAATATATTATTAAACTGGTTTTCACGTATTTTTTATCCTTTGAGACCTTCACTCTTCGAAATTTAGGCCGGACTTTCATCGAAGTCCGTCTGTCATCGGGAGCATATTCGGCTAGATACACTACCTCCAAGAATAGCTTCACCCCTTGAATACAAGGGCGCCTATTGCGCGGGGAGATGGACAAGACAGCCTTCAATTGTCGCGTCTGCGCGCGCGGCGTATCGTGCGGCTATGAGCGGAAAATTCTCAATGTGCACCCGGAGCAGGGGACATGTACGAATTGAAGCAATGACAAGACTCCATGACGGGCGATATCGAAGTTTCCCATCTTGATACCATCGTCAAACGGTCATGCAGTAAAACTCGTCCGTCGTGCGCGCGTCGCTCGCTGCGCCCACCAGCGCGGCATATTACGATTGCCTCTGTCGCCCACTGCACCAAACTGAACTGCTCTCTTTTTCACACCGAACTGCTGCGATATTCATTGGAGAGTTAAGCCACCGCGCAGGAACCAGTCCCCTGCAAAATCTACTCCAAGTGGAAGATTCTCATAGAAATCCCGCCTAAATTTCGAAGAGCAGAGGCGCAAACGTTGGATAGCGCGTACTTTATAGCGTTTTTATATCCTTTTATTCGGCATATCTACGCCCAGCTATGTACATTATATCCCGGCGATAGAGTGGGCATGGCCGCGTACCACACTTGAACATGGCGGCGTCTGCACTTCTGGTGGGACATTTGCGTTTTGAGACAATTTTGGTCTTGTCTTTGACCAACACAAGACAAAATGAGAGATTTCTGAATATTCAAACATTCTATGATGAACGCATTCTGCGCCTTTTCTGGGTGAAGTACGCGGCCACGCCCTGCTCATCTCAGTGGTATGGAGGATGCAGTAAACATCAAAAGTGCAAAAACGCACCAACTGTTGTTGTTTTGCTTCTTTCTGGCCTATCCACCTTTCTCGGCAGTGTTTGACTTGAAAAGTCATCATTTGAGCTCGGTCGCAGAAGAGAAATCTCCTGCAAAGATATCATTTGATTACCAGAAACACTCCCATAAAGTTAAAATACGATGCAAAAGGTGGCAGAATTGCCAGAACTGGCTTGAAATCCGTGTTACTAGTCATACCTGAGTCTTTCTTCTTTCTCTCTCTTGCCGTCTGTTGGCAAGAATCTGTCCTTTCTCGACGACCTTGATCGTATCACGGCGCCTTTGATCTTCTTCGGCTATACGAGATCGCTCAACCTAAATCGGGTACCCAATTGCACCGGAACTACTTTGAGCGTCAGACTCCTCCATACCTCCTTCTTCCTGAGCCGACTGAAGTTTTGCTCAATCAGAGTAAGACGTTTCACCATGTCACAGCGATCACCCTGGGCATCCAACGTTACTAAGAAATCGTCAAAGTCACGATGGCGCCAGTCGTCACCTAAAAAGAACCATTAGGGCACTCTTCAAATAGTAAATGACCACGAGCACAACGTACCGAGCAGTCGCTCCCTTTCAAGCAACCATTGCTCAAGCTGAGCAGCATTCTGCTTCCACCTTTGGCAGTCAAGATTTTCGTTATACAGTTCATTACGATCTTTCCAAACTTCGCATAGTACAGCCCAAGAGCGTTCAAGCGTTTCAACCTGAACACATAAAAGTATGAAATAATGGATTACCTTGAAGGCAATTAATCAGAAGTTGCGGCAGGAGAAGAAACCACCCACTCGTCTTCACCATTCTGACCAGCTGAAGGCATGTTCCATGACAAGCAGCTGGACAGACACAGGAAACCTTGGGTTCCACGGTGCACTTTTCGTCGGAAACGAGAATGGCGCGCCATTGGTGCGCTAGCACGTCTCCCCCATATGACTACCGCGGAACGGGCCTTAGACTTGAACTTTTTTTCCCTTGAATTTTAGACTTCTGCCCCGCCTCTCCTCCCATTGCTACTGCCAACCTCTTTCACACCTTTGGTCATTCTTTCCTGCCGGGGGAGAGAGACCCCATCGTTCGCAAAACGGTTCTAGAGACCCCTAAGCAACGGGAAAAAATAGATAAAGGTCGGCAAGTGGTCAGAGGATAGGAAGAGGGAGCAACACTTGAAGTGGGAGCGTGCGCCGAGGTGGGCGAGGCCAAGGCAAAAATTCGTGGACAGGTTCCAGAGCATCCCAGAGACATCAGTGTGTATCGATTTCGTGCAGGGCACATCATCCTGACAGGAAATCTTTCGAAATACAGCCCCATCCGCGTCAACAAACTCTCAACCCCCGAATGTTAAATGCCTTTGTTTGTGGTCACTGTCACTATAAAAACACTTACGAATACATACCTCTTTCATTGATCTTCTGCGGACAAAAACATTCCTCCCGGATCACTATGTTTACCCGACGGTCCGGCCGTGAAACTCGTCAATGCCTTGAGCGCTTACGTCCCCTGCCATCTGAAAAGAGAAATCCTTTCACCACAAGTACCACTATCCAGACCAAGCACCCACATTCTGCCGGCGCAAAGCTCCATATGAGACAGCCTTTCAATTGTTATCCACGAGTATTGTCCCCAACTACTAACCTCAAGGTTATCACTCATCAGGCGCCGCTGCCAAAAAGCTTCACAGCCATAGACCGTTCACGTGGAACTGCTCGGCATGTCAATCACTGTCTGATTCTCTTCATCCATTGCTTAGTTCACGTATTCCTTAAAAAAGTTATAGAAAGCGTGCCAATACCCTTGCGCAAAACTCTTAGCACTTACTCTTACACTATTGAAGCCATTTAGCCCCTACCTGGAAGTACGCCTGAAGGCCTTTCCATTTGTATGAAGGTCCTTCATGACTTTCTCGTTCCTGTCCCAGATAATATCCATTCATTGTTCCTCCATATCCATCTCCGCACTTTCAAGCGTGCTCACGGGACTTTAGGAATGCCTGATCCATAGGCCTCTCAGCTATCACGGCAGAGCCCTTCAGCCACCCAACAGTGTATGAGAGGCAGCAATCGCGGACAGTCTGCGCTCTAATAGGCTGATGCACCTAAAGGACCGCCACCTGCTTCTCCACAGCTCGCATTCGTGAACGACATTCCTCATGGTTGCCATATTGAACCCTATTATCTGTGTGCAACAGATCGGCATGGGCCAAATCCTCGTTCTCCATTGCAACGCCAGTTGCCTCCTTGTCCTGTAACAATTAACAGATTGAGGAAATTCAACTGTAACTTCTACAGTATTACCGCAGAAGTACCTGAAGCCAGTTGAGGTTTCGTCAGCCTCTTGACAAATCTGCTGCCGGACTTGGCGAGCACAGCTAAAGCTTGCTGTCGTTCAGTGGCCGCTTCATTCACGGATGTCCACAGGCTTTGTAGGTCAGTTCCTTTAGCGCGAATTGATGCCGCATATGGATGTCCTTCAAAGAATGTCCCGTCAGATGAGGGATGAAGGGAAAACAAGGGAAAATGTGCGACCTTTCTTGATTTGCATATCTATTAAAAACAAGATTTATACTCACCACTTCTGAGTACTCTTCCGGCCGCTGCACAGACGCAGCTACACGTTCACCAGCAGCCAGCCATCACGACGACGTATTCAAACTCTCAGTGAGCTCGCGCACAGCAGCTTCAGCATCTCTAACCATAGTCTTCGGAGGAAGCCAGCTGTAACATATCAAGTAAGTAATAATTGCCGTCATCATTCGGCGCCTCTTCTGACCCGTTCAACAAGCCTACGCACACATATCGATAACAAAATCATCAATATGAGCACATTTCACTTTGAAGCAATTGCCACAATGTACTATCGGCACGGCGTGCTCCAAACGTCAGTTGAACCGCAGCTGAGGGTGCCGAACCCTTCGCAGCCCCCTCACCAGTTGCTTGACAGAACGCCGCCCCTCAGCCCATCCGTACCTTGCCTTCAGGGAGCGTCTCGCATTGACCCACCGCTTATCATATTTGCTCATTCTCATACCAATTGCCTCGACCAGAGCGTGAAAGAGTTCGCCACTCAAATCACTCACGCATTGACGGCCTTGCTCAACGAACCTCTCGACCTCTTTTTCTGCATGGTACATTCCATTAAAATGTCCTGTAGTCTTTCACTTGGGCCTGATTTCTATACTGCGGAACCCTCAACTATATGAACTCCTCAAGGAACCTGCCGTGAAAAGTACGGATTTATAAAGGACAGCGGCCGTCTGAGTGTCGAGGGGTACATTTGTGACATCTGATGCCTAGCCTTTGAAGGGTGAAGGGTTTGCTCCTGTGTGGGATGTGAGGGATGAACAACTTTTCATGATGTAAACAGTACAACACGCAAGTTCATAGAGGTCACGGAACACTATATAGGCAAGAAAGCACAGACAGGAAGCGAAAATTGATTGAATCAAGGACCAGGTTCTTACGGTCTGTAGGCCAAAGTTTCTCTACAACGCAAGTTCCCCTTGAACGTCACTGAGAATAAATACGCACGAAAATCCAATCCAAAATCAAAAAGATCTTCGAATTTCTTGAACACCAAAATTCGCGAAAAAAAAACGTCAGATCAAAACTTACGTGTTCTTTTTCATGGAGCCAGTCGGACAGGTCATCGACTTGGCGGACGAACCGATGATAACGACCTGCATCTACAAGCTGCGTACGTCTCCTATTACATTCCTTGACTAGATCAGAATATGCCGTCTCTAATTTTGCTTGACGTGCAGCGATCTAAAATAAAAAACTTCACATTCCTGCATAATCAAAAGCGCTAATGATGAGTAATTGAGGAGAAGTGCTAAATACCAAGCCCTAGAAGAATAAACAGAAGGCTGTGAATTACCTGGTTCGCATCCTGATGGTCCTGCAACGAATCGCAACGGGTACGAAGTCTGTCCAGTTCGTTTTTAAACTGAGCCACCTGTAAAAGACAATTGACACTACGTAGAGTTACATCTGAGAGAAATATCTGGTGGTTCACCTCCTTGTCAAGCAGAGTTAGCCGTCTCAGATATCCTTCTGCAGCGGCTTGGTCGCGACCAGTCTCCTGATTGATGGCGACAATCATTTGATCCTGAAAACACTAGATGATACAACACTATATACCATTAGCCCGTATTCATACTTCGCGAATGACGCAATACAGTCGCGCGGCGCGCTCCACCGCTAATCGTTGGACCACTGCAGCTGCCAATGCGATTACATCCAAGGCAGAACTTCTTTCAACCGTTGCAGCTGTCCAAAGATCAGAAGTCGGTCGCAAAGGCATACCCAAAATCGCCCTCCCCTCTGAATCGCTCGAGTAGGAAAGCAATAATCTCACCCTGATCCATTGTTCCGCCTCAGCTGCTTCCGTGTAGTACTCGTGGCTGTCCACAGCGTGCTGCAGTCGAGCTCTTCTGACTGAGGCAGCATCCTAAATTGTGTTACTTAGCATTGGAGGACTGAGCAACGCTAGAAAAAGCAATGATGTAAAATGGATAACACTCCTCAACAAAAACAATGTCAATGACAGGAAATAACTAACTTTCTTGTTGTGCGCGGCACGCAACCGCTGTTTTGTACAAATGCAACCTAAGAAGTTCTTCCAGAAGATAAACCGAGGCCTCGATTTCTTTGACTAAATCCCTCAAGTACGATCACTGAATTACAAATCAACGAAAGCCAGCCCCCTCATATTCAACCAGGAACTGCACGGGTGTAATCAGATCTAAGTGGTCGTGAGAGAACTGAGACCCCAGGTCCTCATAGACCACAGATTGCTAAAAAGCAATAGTCTTATCGAGAAGGGTCAGCTGTAAAGTGTTAAGTAAGTAATAACTGCCCTAATCATTCAGCGCCGCCTTCTGACCGCATTGAATAGTTTTTAAGCCTAGCGAACATAATCGCCAACAAAGTCCGCGAACATTAAGACATTTCACTGTTCGAAGGCAATTGGCACAATGACTAGTGGGAGCGTCCGCTGGCCAACACATTTGGTGGATGGGCCGCAATGAGATGTGCCAAATCTCTGCGCAGCCTTTCACCAATGACGTTTGGACAGAAACCGCCCGCCCCCAGCGCATGACCCTTCGGGCCTCAACAGAGCGCCTCTCCATTGAGGGCAGCTTAAACATATTCCCCGGTTCTGTACCCATCGCTCGAAAACCAGCCCTTTCAAGAGTTTTAGCCCCGTCAATCACTCACGCATTGACGGCTCTTGCTCAACGAACCTCTCGACCTCTTTTTCTGCATGGTACATTCCATTAAAATGTCCTGTAGTCTTTCACATGGGCCTGATTTCTATACTGCGGAACCTCAATCTATGTATATGAACTCCTCAAGAGCCTGCCGTGAAAAGTACGGACTTTTATAAAGAACGCAAGGCTGTCTGAGTGTAGATGGGTACATTTGTGACATCTGATGCCTAGCCTTTGAAGGGTGAAGGGTTTACTCTTGTGTGGGATGTGAGGGATGAACAACTTTTCATGATGTAAACAGTACAACACGCAAGTTCATAGAAGTCAGCAGGAACACTTTATAGACAGGGCACGCCATCTTTGTGATCATCACAACGGGGGGGTCGTATTTGCCCGCGATGGAGGGGGGGTCGTAAACGCATGGCCCATGTTGAAGTGGAGAGAGCGGTGATACACGGTACAAGTGAAAAGAAGCTCAAGGGACGATGTAGATGACAATAAATAGAACTAGGCACTATCGAACTATTCCTAGGCCAAGGACTAAAAAACATATTGCTGAAACTTTTTACTCCTTCCTCACAGAAAAACTTTTAGACACTTCGCCCACCAACCCTCCTAATCTGGTCTAGATAAATCCCAATCCACTAATCCGCAAAATCTAGAAAAGAATCCATTCCAAAGCTACCTATGAAACCGTAGAAACTGAATCCTGAGCAATTTCCTCACAACAAAATCAACTCAACAAAACAAAACTGCGAATCAAACTTAACAAGAACAAACAATCAAAATAATTCACAATCAAATGGATAAGAAAAAAACTCACCAGGCCAGCTGGGAACCGGAACTATGGATTACTTTTGAATTTTGGCTGTTCGCGGTCAGCGCGCTCATACAAGCGCATTGGTGCGCGCTATTTTACGGTTTGGAGCCAATTTCAAGCCAAACACGTGAAAAGTACCCCTCATTTGAACACCCATAACTTCGTTGAAAGTGAAGCTATCGGAGAGGGGTAAGTGGGAATGAGTAGAGCTAGGTTGGCTCTTGTCACCTGAATTGAGCGATTTCAAAAACGTTCCGGTTCCAGAGATTTTCCCCGTTGTGATCATCTTTGTGATCGTCTGTGATCATTTTTGCGAACCGGCGAGTCGCTACGCTTTGGACGTCCATGGCAAGCTTCATACACGACCTTTCGTAAAAAAAAGAACTGTGCCGGAAGCTTGAAGATTTCTACTTTCCAGCAAGGTTTTAATTTCCTTCCTAGACCTACTATTCGAAAAAATTCCCCGTTGTGATCATTTTGTAATCACCCCCCACGACACCGAAAAATCAACCCCTCCGAGGCCAGGAAACCTCCAGTTGGCTCGAAGACTTTGGTATGCTTCTGAAACACATGTTTTCGTCAAGCATATCAGGTAATAGGCCATTGGGCGCCAATTGGCATCACATATGCAATGCGCCATGCATGGGGCTTTCACGCAGGTGTTTGAAAGGTGTAACTTCTAGATAGGGCTTCCCAATTGCAAGCAAATATGCTCCTGCAATAAGAAAAGTCCGGGAATGTACTTTCATTTGTTTATTAATCGTCATGTCGTGAGTCCTTTCCATTGTTTATAAATTCATGGTGTCCTTGTGGGCGGTGATCGTAGATCCTATCATCGCCCCTTCCTCGTACGTATTGTCAGTATGCTACACCAGCGCCAGAGTGCTGGACGTGCTTGGGACGTACGTAGGTACTGCGACCTCCCCCCCCCCCCCCGCTCGACAGCAAAATTTTGTAAAAAACCACAGAATTTTTTGGGAAAAAATAGACAAAGTGGTAGGAGGTTGGAAAATTCTAGGGAAAAGGTAACATGGG